TTCAAAAACGAAATCAGACAAAATTATGGTAATGCTTGCCTGCGAGCATCACCACTGGGCAGGATTGATCTTAGGAGTCATTGTTTTGCATTTTTACCGGCTGAGGCCTGCCTGCTATATGCATGCCATTCAAGATGCTTTTGGATGGGAACAGTTTCAACATTTATACTGCTCTCAGGGGCAGCACCGTAATGTGGTATATCTCCACGGTTACTCATATCCGGATCATGCCTAGAGATTCTGAATATTAATGATGAGAACGAGAGGGGGTTTTGTACAGATAATTATACAAACATATTACTACATGTTTTCTACTTGGAATGTACAAAGCAATGTCCTTCAGTATTACGATGTTTGTTCGTGCATGTGTGTGTGTGTGTGCGTGTGTACACGTGTGTATGCTAATGCATACGCAAACACCCGTATATTAGATTTTACATTGACTGAATGTTGAAAAAAAGGGTGTGTTTACATTTTTGTTTTCTTTCTTTCTTCTGTTTTTGAGATTGTGTACATAGTGCAGAATGTTTTTTAAGTGTGTGTGTGTGTGTGCAAGAAAAATCGACTATTGACAGTGTCAAATGTGATGCATTCTCCGGCATTTCTTCAGAGTTTCAAATATTATCTGTTATTAGCGCAATTTTACAAATGATGACTTGCGGACACACTGAATGATGTGTTTAATAAATGAATAAACAGTAAGATTATTTGGTGAAAAACTCAAAGCAAAAACTTGTGTATCTCATTATCTTATAAGCAAACTATGCATACAAAACACTACAGTTGTATTTAACTAATTTCAGAAAGTTGAGCTTTCATTTAAATCCTACACTTCAAAGATTTAAAATTGAAACAAAAATTCTAAATAGTTTTGACCATATGGTCCCATATATAAGCACTCCTCACTCCTGGCTTAAATTAAATCATCCACATTTTATACCATATTTTTGGCAGGCTCTCGCCATCTTGGGCAAACCACTTCTGCAACGTATCTTCTGGCAGAATTCCCTTTTTTTTCTCTTGGTGAGGTCATGCATGAATAACTAATAGAATAGTGATATTTAAGATAAATTTTGAACAATTAAATATACAGAAATAATTTGACCATTAAAATGAATTCCCAATATGTCCTTTAATTAAAAAAATGCAGCTCCTTATAGGCAATATAGAAAATGCTCATCAGGTTATAGCTCTAGCAGCCGAGTTAAAATAATAAATGCAATATTTATCTGGGGTGCAAAACGGAAATGATACAAACCAAATATTGATCCAGAAACTCATCTACATACTGCTGAAATCTGCCGAAAGCTAAACAGGCATTCTGAATGTATGCATTGGCATTATTGTCTTGAATTATGCATCGATATGGCCCTTAATGTCAGAATTGTGTACACAAGTAGGTTTTTACCTCTTAACCTCTCTCAATGTAAGTGAAGAAGGGAATATTACGTATTAGATTTCTGGGAGGAGAGTGTAAATGTTGAGTTATAACAGTTTCTGTAATATCGGGATCTGTCCAAAGTCTCTCCTCAGCTCTTTTTTTTTTCTTTTTTTAGAGAAATATCTTCATTTCTGAAGCACACGTGGTATGAGAAGTATTGTTTTTGAAATAGGAATACATACAAAAACAGCTTCTGGCTTAATTTTTTTTATCTGTTATTTTCTTTTTTCTTTCTTTCTGTGCCAAGACACATCAGAATGCAGGGCCAAACTGCAGCAGTAAAAATAGCGAAGCAGTTCTCAGATGCGATACCCGACGGAATTGTGTGCATGCAATGTGTGCGTTTCTTCAGTTTGAAGGGAACATTTTACGTTAGGAGCTGCGTGCTGAAAAGCTATGGAGATGCAAAGGAAATTCATCTGGCGAATGTGTTTAAGTGATTCTAACGTAAAACACAATATCCGTCATGACTCAGATTTTATGAACACGAAGTAAAAGTCTTCCTCATAAAGTTCTGTGAAGCAACAAGCAATCGTGACCTCCGGAAAACGTGTGCTTATGTGCGTGTGTTTGTTTTTGAGCATGCTTGCATGCACCTGTATATCTGTGCTGAGTGCTTCCATGCATATTTTCCATTTTTGTATGTATGAGTCAATTTAACTAGAATAGCCAAAAATAAATAGCTGTGACCCTGTGAGTACAGTATCAGAGAAACTAGCTCAATATTAGCCCTCCCCACCTGTTAAATATATATATATATATATATATATATATATATATATATATATATATATATGATTA